ACTGAATAAGTTTGTGTAAGCCTACACCAGCAACAGATGGTGTCAACTAAGGAAGAAAATTCTGCTGAAATTCAGGATTCCACAAACCTGCTCTCGCCAGTGTGGTGTGTTTTATTTTATCTTGTCTCTGATTGCCGTAACATTTACATAAAACTGAGGAGGAAACACAAGCATGTGCCTGATCATTATGGCTAGTCTGGCAAAACAAAGCTAAGTAAAATAAATCTCCCACTGCCACTTGCTCATTTTATGGGATGGCTGGATGCCTGGGAGATGCTCCTCTGTGGAGGTCTGTGTTCTGTTCTGTCCTTGAACCAAGTGATAGTCCTGAAAGCTGAACTTAGTTTGGATGGAAGGCACTGGCTCCCCTGATTCACTTCCATGAGCTCTGAGTTAGCCTATCCTGCTTTTTTTCTATGACTTTAATAATAGAAGTGAATTTTTTTGCCTCTTTTTTTTCTAAGGGGAGAGGCAAGTGGGAAGGACTAACAAATTAAATACATTACAGATCTCATATTAGTGTCATTTAAGCAGGTCCTCTCATAATTTAGCTTAGTTCTATACAGCTTTATGTATTTTAAAGACATTTTTTATTTCTGTGGGCTGCCAGATGTACTGCTGATACCTTCTGATCTGAGGTAGTTTGACACTGATTTTCCTAGCACACGCCAGGGTTCAAATCTGGTCTGTAACCCATCCAAATGATCTATTCATAACAAAAAGTGCCTTCTGGCACTTGCACCACAGCTGAATATTGTTAAACTGAATTCATCATTTCATTTGTTTCTGATTGCTCTATAATGTTTACATATCTTACATATTAGTGTGATCTTTTATAAAGCACATGCCGAGGTTAAACCCTCCCAGACAGAACTTTATTTCCCTTCTTCTCCCTTTCAGAAGGTGTTCAACTCTTTTTCCCTTCAGATGAGCAGGAATCTTGGAAATGCTTAATGCTCATTTCGTCTGAAATGATGGGGTTGAGCAAGTAGGAATGTGCATGGAAAGGTGACATTTTCTTGCACAAAAGGGATTCTTTCCCATCGACAGACAGAGTAACTGTGAGGTGGGATAGCATGGCTGAGTATAATCCTTGGGTAAGTTGGCATCATCACACGTAGGGGCAACAGTCTCGGTGTGAACATGTTCAACTGAAATATTTATAGATGCAGCTTATGACTCAAAGTGTGAATAAGTTCAGCTTCTCATCTCCAGTCTTCCAATTCCTGCTTCGTTGTTGGGCAGAGATCATTCTCAGGTCTAGCAGAGGAAATCCTCTCTGTGTTCAGTTTCGCTCTATGTAAAAGATAATAAACATTAACATGTCTTGCAATAGGAGTGTGTCACAGAAGGAATTTCAGTTAAATGGAAGGCAGAAAATCTGAGCCTCCTTTTGAATTTGTATGTTAACTTCCATAGAAGGATGACATCTCTTATTTGCTTTCAAAATAAAAATCAATTCCCCATAAATCTAAAACACATGTTGTTTTTCTACTAAAAAGATTAAGGATTTTCTTAAGCTCATTAAAGGGAAAAAAAAATGGCATTGATCCTCCTATATCATCATGAGAATGTCTGAAGGCAATTGAAAGCTATATAAGAGACATGGTATTAGTGTAACAAAAATAGCCCTGAATCTGGCAAATTGTGCTTTTCTTCTGGGTTCTGTGGCAAACTTTGTACTTTTTCTCCGACCTTACACTTATGTCTAGTCATGTGTTTTGGTGGGATTGGGTGGGATGTATACTCAAACAGAATATGGGCCTTTTATTATGAAAATACAAATGCCAGCTGCTGCATGGCTTGAAAGACCATCCAAATATTTCAAGAAAGGGAAATGGAAACCATTTGCTGTTTTTTATGCATAGAGCGATGGAAGGATGTTACTTCTCAAAGACTGTGTGTCTGTTTTGAGGAGAATGTTATTCCCAATTTTTGCTTTCCACGTGCATTAAAACCCAGAGTCTGAAAAATGTGAATTAAACCCCTTAACTGAGAGGAGGAGATAGGAGATCTGATGGTGCCCTATCATCAAATAATGCATGATAGCCAAGGTTCTTTTATTCCAGTTAAAAGTTCCCACAGCAACAAAACTGATAACCAAGTACCCCACTGCCTCTATCCATCAGCGTGGCAATTCCCAGTTCCCTTGTTTGCTCTCTTCATGTGTTGAAAGTTTGCTGGAATGTGAACAGACGGTACTTAGTAGTAAGCTGATAGGAAGGTCTCACTGTAATTTGAGAGGAGCCAGCATGGAAATATCCTGTCCTGGCAAATTCCTGTGGGTGCCCAAAGTACTAGGGCAGAAGTACTGACTGCAGAGAGAATTTGGTCTTATAATGAATCTAAACCTTTTGGTGTTATCAGATGTAGAGGACAACTTGGTAAATTGAGGACCAATGATAGAAAAAAGGTGGGGTTTCTGTTTTTATTTTATAAAATATATTGTCCTTCTTGATGTTTAGACTTTCTCCTGACTTCACAAAGCGTCTTTATGCTTTCAGTACCCTTTGGCTATTTGTTTTTTCAGACTACACAGCAATTGGATTTTAAGCTCGATCCACTTGGTGTAACTAGATTTTTCCTTCAGTGAGCTACAGAACACTGCAAAGTTTGCTGCATCAAAAAATTTCTGAGATAAGACTTCAAAATCCCAGGCCCCTTTTACCCTAAATGTTTCTTGTCACCTGTAGACACACATGCTGTGCCCACAGCTATAGGATGGGAAGGAGACAGGATGTTTGGGTTCTCCCCACACTTCCATCACCAGTTTGGAGCAGATGCTGACATGGTGTGTTCTCAGTAAGGTCAATGATGTGGAATAGGTCTAAAACTCAGCTTAGTTTAGGACTTGTTTTGTCTTGCACTTCATTTTCATATTGAAATTGTAAAAGAAGCCTTGTCCCGTTGAGGTGATGAAAACTCAAAGCTGCATTAATTTGTAGTTTTAAGAGAAAACAAAACAAAACCAAATGTCTCCGCAGTGTTTTTGACGTAGCTTCGTCCACTTCGAGTCATAAATGCCTTTGTAAATTCAGTGCAGCTATTCTTGCTCTTTAATGGGTTTAGTCAGCCAAAATCTTGCACAGACACACAGACACATGTGCACATACATCTTTAGGGAAAGTAAGTTAGGGCTTTAGAGCTGATAAGGGAGAACTGAGCAAGATTCCCTGTATTTGTTAGATGCTTTCCTGAGAGAAATCGTGATTTCTTGACACGGTGCTGATTTATTTTGAGAAAGAAATTTTTGGGTTTTTTGTTTTCCTGCTTAACTTCATGACAAGAATCAGCTGTACTGTGAGTTTATGGCTGGAGCAGACTATTGTTTGTGCAGAAACCTCCCTGCTGCTGTATTTACTAAACATGTGTGATGCACAAATGCCAGTAAACTGCATCTTGGAGCATATTCCCCCGTTGCTTGTAAAAACTGTCTTTAAAGTTTGGCCTGTTTAAATATACGGAGAATGTGCATCATGTTTAACAGGAGCAGGCCTCAAAACTGTTTTGACATGAAGTCCAGGCCTTATTGAATCAATAGCAAACCTTAAGCATCCTTCAATGGGTCTAGAATTTTGCTAATGAAGAACAAGGTCTAAATACAAAAAAACCTATTGTTCCATTGACTGAGACCACTCCTTTTTTGCTGTTGCAGCATTGAAAACATACAGACTTGTTTTGTTACAGAATTAATTCTCTTGTTTCCTTCTCTGGGAGCAAGGCACCTTCTAGAAAACAACAGTTGCAGATTTAGCCATCCCATTAACGTGGAATGATGGGAAGTGCATCATGCATCATGTGGTGGTGTAGGACTGCACTGCTGTTCTCTTGAGTGTATAAATGTGGTCCTGGAAGAGAAAACATGAAACCTGCTTCCAAGAGAAGAGGGTAGCCTGGCAGGGGATGGTGACCTGTCTCCTCCAGCCCCTGCTGCAAGAATTCATTGTTCAAACAGTCAGGAATACACAACTAGTCTTTGGAGTAAGTACTAGGACCTCCTTAGGCCTTCTGCTGACCCAGAATGAAAGCCTAGAAAGTCTGTCAGGTCTACTGAAAGTGGAACAGCTTTATAGGAGGAAGGAAAATGCCCTCCACCCTTATAAACTGGTAATTTGCATCTTCTGAAGCAGAGAAAGGAAATGAACCAGTGTTTCCCACATCCTGAGTGGTCTAACCACTAAAATACTGTGTGGGGCAGCTGTCACTGTACACAGAGGGGTGTATTGGTGTGAATAGGGGCCTGTTGTTTCTGTCGGATAGTGCTCAGATAGCTGCCTTGATCTGCCTTCACAGGTGTGAAGGAAGGAGTGGTTTGTGTGAAGCTGAGCCTAAGTAAGGGGCAAAGTCTGATGTTTACCCAGGCACATGTTTCTTGTTGGCCATACCAAGCACATCCCCCTTTGCCCAGCCCAGGTCTGCAGCTTCCACACAAGACACCAACAATCCTGGCAGCTATGTGGGCGCACTGGAGCCTGGGGTTCCCTTGCCAACTTTGGGAGTTGGTGTCAGATCTTGGGGGACATCACTGTCCTCTGTCAGCAGGATTCCCTCCCGATTCCTAACTCTGCAAACACCCATCACCAAATACATTGGCTGTATTTGCTGAGGACAGTCAACAGTGTTGTATCCAACTGTTCATTCTAAATAAGGCGTTTTTATAGAGAAATGAGGCAATTTCCCTCTTCCTGTAAAATACAGTTCCCATTCCTGAAACCTCTTCCTTTCTGCTCAGCCAGGCCCAGCTGTTCTGTCAGAGTGGGGGCACTTGTGTGATAAGTAGCTGCAACTGTGTCATGTGAGCTAAAAATGATGCAATTGGAAGATCTCCACATTATCCTTAGAGTAAATCTATACCTGTGGATCTCCACTGCTGTTGGTAACTCCTGTGGAAAAGCAGGAATTGTTTCAGTCTTGGACTCCAATAGCTGCCAAGCATTAGTTGTGAAGTCCCTACTTTGACAGGTTGTTTGATTCACTAGAGCTTTCTTTTGCTTTTACAGGTCAGTGAAAAACCCATTTTTGTTCCTGGTGTTTGGGGACCATATTTCTCTGCAATGGTACCTGGATTGTGGTTGAATGAGGGAGGTCAAAGTGCTACAGGAAAGCTGGTAAGTGTTTGGAGACACAGGCAGACTCCAAGATGGGAGGTCTGGAATAATTGCTGTCATTTGGAATAACTTCACTGTCAGTTCAGGCAGAGCTCTGCTGAAGCACTTCTATAAGATCATGGGAGATACAGGCTGCTGAAAGCAGTGAACAATTAGTTGATTATTATGTCTCTTACAAACTGTTCATTTGCATATGGATAAGGGATTTTATACAGGGTATGTCTTCCTTTTATGGTGGTGATGATTATTGTTATTATCTTACAGGGAAATAGGCTTCATTCTTTACTTCAGCAGGAGGCTGAGATAAAGAAAATTGCACATATTATGTTGCATAGATCAATTGTGCTCATCGATGGGCATAAGTGAAAGATGTACTTTATGGACAGATAGTAATATAGTAACATGTTATCCTGTCACCTCAGGTCTTTGCTCAAATACAAAGAGTCTAACAGTATTAGGTTAATTTAATTTACCAGGCTGGATTACCTAAAAAGTGAATTTTTTTACAGGAAGTCAGAACTAAAACATTGATGTCAAATTTAAAGAGAGGCTAGATGTACACAACGGTATTTAGGCTTGAGTCCAGAAGTGCCACCAAGATCTTCGTGATTGCTCGACCATGAAGCTTCCAGAGCTCCCTGTGTGTCTCCTTGGCCAGTCTGACTGCTCTTAGGACTGAGCTGCAAAGGCCTTGTGAGAAGCTGCAGGAGGCAGGCGAGGCCTGGGGGTGTCCCCTGTAAACCCACCATGTGCAGGTGGAGTTTGGTCTGTCACCAGTTGCAGGTGTAGTTGCTCTGACTCAGACCCAGCACCACCCACCTTTTTAAAAGCCTAGAGATGGGAGAACACGTCCAGAAAATAGACTGGGGAATCCCTGCACTTACACATACCATGTGGAACAGTCACTGAATGAGAAGCACAAATCATCCAGACACACCCCAAGCACTGAGCTGTCAGTGGTGTTCCCTCCTGTGCTCTCTCCTTGGCCACATTAACCTGACATTCCTCTCTGTGTCACGGCTTCAGTGGGAGAGTCAACCCTCTTTCTCCTGCAGCCTTGCTTCCCATCCCACCACCATCCTTAGCCTTCTGGCTAAAAAATGCTCTTGCAGCACGTGGGATGTGTATTTTAATTCTTTTAATTGTGTGCTTTAAATTTTTTGGGTCAAGATTGGGCTAGGACCAAAAAGTGTCCTATTTTATAGGTAACTGCTACAACCAGAAATAAAACTGAATTATATATATATAAAATACATTTAATATCTAAAATAATATATGCTCAAAACACCCCCATTTTAAAAGGAAAGTGGCAAATCTTGTGCGTTTCTTTGCAAGAACACATTTGAGAGGGAAGTCTCTATCTGTTTAATCCAAAGCAGGTAAATACTCTTATCTAAGCTCTAGAGAGGATACAGCAAGTCAGTGATTCTTCTCAGCTGGCTCAGGATAGTTCCACACTTTAAATGTACTATGACAGTTAGGGCGTTTCAGAAAGATGATTTAAAAAATCCTTTCTGTTCTAGTACCAGATAACAAGATGTTCCTGAATCATTAAAGAAATTGCTGGAAAAAGTGTATGGTCTTTTTAGGACCCATAGCAAAAGCCATGGGAGGTAACAGTGCATGTGCTCTGTGTGGAGGGTACAGGGCGTTCATTATCTCTGTCATTTTCAAGCTGAAGGTTTTCAAGATCCTGCTTTCTCACATCTTCTGAAAACAAACAAACAAAAAGGGTATGTTTCGGGTTCTTTTCATTGCTTGATCAACGCCCCGATGTTAATTACTTTCATAAAATGTGAACAGTCTGTTTAACTTCTTAAAAGTAGAGCTGATACACTTCCCTTTAAAAAGCTCTAATTAATTTTTTTTTAAAATACAGCTGCTAAAGAAATCTGTTGGGTTTTGAAAACTGTAGAGTCCAAATGAAGGATTAAGTCCTCTCGTTCTGAAAAAGCTTGATTTTTTTGTATGTTAGATGGGTTTTTGCACTGGATTTTCAAAATTTATGAGAAGAAAGATATAGCACAACAGAGAGAAAGGATGACATGACATAATTAGAAACTGTGAAATAAAAAATAGCAGAAAATGGTTTCTATGTGCATCCCTCATGTGGCCATGTCTTGAATTAAGGGCATTTAAATATCTAACTTCATAACTCCTGCAACAGTTTTCTGTAAAAGTGTTTTCATGTGATGTTTATTTATAAATTTATTTCTGAATTTATGAGCTGCCCCGTGTTCTGAGGGGATTATGCAAGATTGCACAATTCAGACCTGAGCTTTGTTTCTAATGCAGACACGCGTTTGAGTTCTGTCTGATGCCAATCTCAGGAAGAACAGGCATTATTTTCGTTGCTGTGTTCAGATGTGTTTGCTTCATTATATGTTTTCATGCACTTGTTCAGGACTAGACTCATGCTGTTAAAAATTAAATACTGATGTGATTTTCTGCCCATAGGTATTGCCAAAAGTACTCAGTGCTCTTGAGTAGCTCTAGTTTTGCCTCCTTAGCTTTTACTGTCACCTCTGATGGGATATTACCAAGAGGCCACAAAACCTGCTGAATTATTGTCTTAAAAAAGCCCATATTATTCTACCTGATACTTTGTTTTGTGAGTAATGGTAACCACTCTGGACTGAAAGGACAAGTTGATTTATAAATTCAGTATAAGACAGAGTGTATATTGATCTTCCTTTATAGCAGTAATTGCTTCTCAGGGTATACATTTTGTTTCCTGCAATGAATGTGTGAAGCATCTATCAGGATGACAACACACCTTGTGTTTTATTTCAATGGAGTGATACAGAAAGATGTAGGGATTTGGGCCAAGGAGATGTTCCTGGTAGAATTCCAATGAGGATAAGCATGCAAGAGAATGGGAGAGACCAGAGGACATGCTCTCGGGTGCTGTTGGAGACAGGAAAAATGTCATCCTGTCACCTTGCTCTCCTGACTGAGGAGCTGCATACTTAGCATTTTGCCAGTTTTTGGTGCAAGGTTGGATGTTTTTCTTTACTGTTCATAAACCAAATCCTGAATGTCAGTGGCAGTTCTGCCATTGGCTTCACTAGGACTTAACACTTCATGAGTAATTTGGAAGCTCTCTTGTCTTTTTAAAGTTATAACACTGCCTTACCCTTTTCCAGGATTGAAGTTGTAAGATGTAATCATCCTAAAAATGTTGCTTTTCTCTTTTTCAGATCGATCATGTGGTCCGAGGCCATGTTGCCTTCCCGGAATTACAGTCAAAAGCTGCAGCCAGGTCACTGTCCTTATTCCTTTGTCACACACCTGCCTTACAAACTGATGGCACAATGTATTCTCAGCAGTGTCCTTACTCTGAAACAGGGCAATTAACGGTCTGAGAGAGGGTTGGAAGTACTTACAAAGGCTTGCCAAGTGATTGCTCAAAGATGAAAGCTTTAAACTCCCCTCAGATACCTTTGGTATATCTAAGTAGTGATATTAACTTACTGCTTTTCAGCTTTTCTGTCCAAGGGTATTTCTTGATTCTGTAGCATCATCCCTGTTCAGCAGACCTGCCTCTATGCTTTGGGCTAGCAATGTGTCTTCATTTGTAGGTGACACAACTAAGCTCCAAGGATGAGATATAGCTTAATTAGGATATGTTATTCAGTATTTTTGAAACAATCATCTAAAGGAAGGTATAGCCACCGTATGGAAAACTCCTGCATGGCAGCACAAATAGAACAGAGAAACCCTGGATGAATTTTCAGACAAAACTCAAGATGGAGGAGTGACTTGGAGGTAACTCCAGGATTCCTTGAGCAGCAGACTGTGTGCAGTGTGGAATTTTAGTGTGGTCAGCTTTAGAAGTGGATGAAGACGGTCCAGACTGGTCTGGACTTTGTCAAGCAGTTTTGGCTTGGATTCCTTTTAAGATGGTTCCCATCACTTCCAGAGAGGTCTTAGCTGAACAGTTGGGCACATTGGATGACAATTTGATTCTCTTTTAATGTCTTTTTCATCCTTAGATTAAAGAAAAAACCAGCAAAATTGGCACTTTCTCTTCAGTTTATCCCTCTGGTCTAAAAGACAAGGGTCAGTCCTGATACATATATTAAACATGCGCAGTCACATAGTTATTTTCAGTCCTCCTGGGGGGATAAAGCTACCTGGTTTTTCTGGATGACCCTTCCATCCCTTGCAGGGCCCACTGTCTTACTTGTTTTTTAAGAACTTGTCCAAGATTCCCAGAAATGTATTGGACTTCATTCAATATGAAACAGATTTACGCTTCCTAGAATTCTCTTTGTTGTTCTGTGAAAAAGGAAATCAGGAAATAAATGCATCTGTGTATGTTTGGAATAAAGATTGATCTGGGGCTTTTTCAGAATTTTGGCTTCCAGGACATTTTTCCAGTGCCCCTATATGAAGCTCAAGCATAGGACAAACAGTTTAGTCTGTAATGCCAGGATAAATCAATTTTTGTTCTTGGAAAAATGGCTATAGAGTAGCCTCCTTGTCTCTGCTAGGTCTGATAGTGAACTGACTGAGCACAATAATGCTATAGTGCAAAAACTTGGAGTGTGGTGTGAGCAAGACACTAAATATGGAATATTGGGAATAGAACTCCATGTTATCCAAGGGTATGATGTCATAACTTTGGATTTGAGTCTCGTGCAATTAGTAAAACTCTGGAGAACAGTACTGATAATAAGAGCTGTAATATTTTATTAAAAGAGTAATAATATTTTATTAAGTTAATTTGCTCAATGGTATTCTTGTCATGCTTTCCAGATATTACCCTACTAATGAAATGTTTACACAGCTATAAATTTAGTAAACAATTCACTTACTAATTCTCTCATCCGCTTTCTCCCCTTCCTTCTGAAATATTTGTTAAACTTAAAGAAGGAACATCTTCCACCATCCCAGCTTGCTCCAAGCCCCATCCAACCTGGCCTTGAACATTTCCAGGGATGGGGCAGCCACAGCTTCTCTGGGCAACCTGTGCCAGGGCCTCACCACCCTCACAGGGAAGAATTTCCTTTCCTCCCAATATCCCATCTAAACCTACTCTCTGTCAGTGTGAAGCCATTGCCCCTTGCCCTGTCGCTCCAGGCCCTTGTGAATAGTCTCTCTCCATCCTTCTGGCAGGCTCCTTCTGAACATAGTGTCTTGTTTTGGAGGATTATTGGTGATGATGATAAATTATCTGCCTGGAAATTTCAGCAGAATAGTTCAGACAATCTGCTTTATTATGTTTAGGATGTTCTCTGTGTGGGTGTAGGAATTTGCATCTGTTCAGTCAATTGCAAACGGCCACAGAAGGAAAACAAAATGAGAATTCCATGTTTGGGTGTGCAATTTCATATTACCTTTACTTGCCATGGTAGATGTAGTGCTGGAAGAGTTAAGCACATGCATGTCTGGATCATTAAAACAAGAACATCTGAGGTCACAAATCCCTGCCTGTTGCTTTCTGCTGCCTCTCACCTACTCCTGCATCCCTAAACCTGTCCTCCCTTTCTTCTCATGCTGCCTATAAGCAGGTTTGGAATGGCAAGTGCCTGCTGAGCAGCTATCCCAGAGGCTTCTTTGTGCAAACTCCTCCTATTCCTTTGCCCACACCAGAGCAGTTTTCCAGCTGCATTTATCACCAGTTTAGTAATTTTGGTAACTTGTAAGGGCGTGAGAGCTCAGACAACCAGCTCCTGCTGACCACTGCTGCTGAGGACCAGGCTTGTGCAACCCTCCCAGTGCTATTCCTATGTCCTTTATTCCCTTCTTTTACTGGAAGTGGACAGGGTTGAATTACATGAGGATTTTCTGGACAGCTGTAAATTTAGCATTTGGTCAAATGGTTGGCACTTTGCAAACAACAAAACTTGTTTTTTCCCAGGCAATTCATTGAGTTGCAGAAATTGCTGTGATGCATCACTTTTGCTCTTCAACCTGCATATTGTGTAGGTCTGACATTTAACCATCACTGATGTGTTAAATCCTGTACAAGTAGGCTAGAGTGGGAAATCAAAACAAATAATATGATCATTTATGGTCTAAAGTTTAAATAATTCTGTTGCCTAGAATGACCATTTCTAATCTTTTGGAGGAGAAAAATATCTGACAGTAAAGTTGATGTGCCCTCTGGCACTTTGTGAAGTGCTGTGTTTTCAGACAGAATTCCCTTTCCTATTCATCTCGATGCCACTTCCCCATCTAAAGAAATGTCTCCTCAAAATAAAACTATGAAGTTACACATACAGGACCCATCAGCAATTCTGGGATCTTTCAAGTAGAATGTAATAACCATATTTGGCAGTTTTCTGTACCTCTATATGGTTTAAGAGTCCTTTTTTTTTTTATATAGAAATCTGTAATTTAATTTTTTTTCCCCTGAAAGATACCTGTTGGCATCTTCTAGGATTCTTGAACAGATTAAACAGCAACTTCTTGATTGATGCTTTCTGAAGTTATGCCCCAAGTATGAACATAAACCTGGGCAAACTTGCATCGATTTCTTATTCTCTACTTTCAACACAGTTCTTTTTTCATAGCAATAGCTCATGCTCAGCTCTGCAGGTGAGATGCAGCTGCCACTGATACCTTGTCATAGAACTGAATAGAGAAAGGTCTGTGAGTTGATGGTATAATATTATGTATAACCCAGAGGTGGGAGAAACAGGAACTGGCAAGTGTTTGAAGGATTTTGCCGGTCCAAGTGTAGTCCCTTGAACCCTTATCTATATATAGAAAAAAAACAAATTTAAAAAGGTGTGGGGAAAAAATGTAATTCCAAGTTTATGTGGGTTTTAAGCATATTTGGCTCAATTTCAGCCTCTTTTTTGTTCAGTCCTTGTGTTCTGACAGAGCTGCACAAATGACTAATTCTTGTGAGAGCAGTCAAGCATGATGGAGAAGAGATAGAAGCTGGGATATCTGGTGGGTCTTCTTGAGTGAAGCTTTCCATTATTTTCCCCCTTCCCAACAGTCAAGCCCTGATTTAGACTGGAAATAAAATTACTTTATCCTTAGCATGTACTGCTTATAGTGCAGTCTTTAGGGATGGAGAAAACAGGGCCACTTTCACAACAAGGGGGAAAAAAAATGATTGTGACCTCAAAATTATCATAATTTAGGCCCAGGAAGACACATAAAGTACATTTTAAAGGACGTGAATAATGATGTAAATTAGTTATTTTAATGTCTTCCAAGTGTAGTTCATTTTGAATGATATCCTCTGATAGCATACACATGGTAAGGTATAATTGAAAAAACATGCAGCTGAATGGTTGAATGCAAAGTATAAATATACAGCTGCTAGTGGGTCAGAAGTCAAACTAGTAAAGCATATGCCAAATTCCCTCAGGGATCTCATTAGTGCATGATTGAATATACATGTAGAGGCTAAATGAATATCACTGTTTGGGTCTGCAGTGGATGAGACAATGACTAATCAATTGTAATTAGGGTTAGATGCTGTTATTGACCCACATGTCTAGAATTAAATGCCCCACTTGGAGATTTCCAAGGAGTTGAAAAATATATATGGATTTGTTTGTGATAGGGTGAGCGTTTGAAAAAAGTATTCTGAGCATAATTGCAACATTTTTTAAACACAATGTCACCAGAGTCACTGCAAGCCAGGGCACTGAAGAATTCACTATTAGTCCTAGGTCCAGGAAAAAGTCTGTTGGATATCGTGGCGTTGGGTGTAGCATCTGAACTTAGATACAATCATATTTAGGCCCATGGTGGGCTCCTCCCTAAAATAGCAGCCACTCACTTTCTCTCCTCCACCCTTGGTGCTGCATTTTAATCATAGCACACACTGAAATAATTATGGTTTGAAAAAGGAAAGCTCTACATGCTATTGATTAATCAGAGAAATTTTTAAACATTTGCAAAGGAATTTGATTTTCACTTCTGTCTGGAATCCTCCTCACTCCTCCCTCTGCGCTTGCTTTTCTCCAGCTTTCCTCACACAGTGTCAGCACCGTTCTGTGGGAGACAAGCATCAGCAGCCCCAAATATCAAACAGCTCTGGCTCCTCCAGGGACCTGGAGGAGTCAATGTACAAACTCAAGGTCATATTATCTCCCCTCATCCCGTGAAATTAAGGAATTCAGGTGGCCTGTTGAGCACACGTGCTGATAGACAGCCCCTCAGTGCCATGGGCTTGGCAAGCAGGGGGATTTTGCTGTTATTTGATGGGTTTTGTGCATTTGATGGTAGTACAAATGTTTTATGTTTGATGAATAACCTCCCCTCTCTGTTTCCAACTTGTTTTTCTCCTAGTGCTCACAGCATATATACATACTTGAACAGTCACCTGGATCTGATTAAGAAATCTTTGCCTGTGGGTTTCCTCACTGTTGATTTACATGTTTGGCCAGATTTCCATGGTAACAGATCTCCCTTAACAGATCTGACACTAAAGGGCATGGTAAGAAACAGCCTGTCTTTGCAAAAAGGTCAATACAGGGTAAAAAAAAAAAAAGGAGCTTTTCTTCAATTTTGAGTGTACTCCTCCTTAGCTGTTTACACTGTCACATAGGATTTGGGTTTCTTGCTGCATTTCAAAGTGTGCTGATGTTTCAGTGGAAAACCAGAGATCACTGTTGTTAAGATATCACTACAGCCACATTTATTTTCTAAAAATATGAGGAGTGCTGTGTGTGTCCCAGGATCTTCCCTAGGAATCACATTTCACAGCGCTTGCTGTTGTTAACTGACTTGTCTACCAAATTTTGAATATTTCTTGCAATGAATTTCAACACGGATTTGGGTAAACCTATCTGGAAAAGGCATGAAGTATTCTGATGATAGATTGCTTGATTTAAACAGCTTTTCAGCCCATCTTTAAGTGTTTTGATGTGTCTTTTTACTGAGCTTATGGTGGTAGATCAGATGGGTCACAAGGCTGTGCAGAACTATAACAGAAGAATGTCATAAGGGTATAATTTGGTGATGTCAAAATACCTGATGATTAATGCAAAAACGTCTTTCAAAATGACATATTGTCCTTGAAATGAGCATCTCAAGCTACTCACCAGCACTATAATCTGCAGTATTTGAGGTTGAGGTAGGAAAGGGTATAAGCACTGCAGCATTTAAATCACAAATGAGGGAAACATTAAAAGCATAAAAAAGACCTATATATTTTTGGGTCCTAATAATACCTGCTTTATTTTATGAGAGAATTATATGCTGCAGCAGAATCAGGATTTCCTTGGTATGATGCCCCTATGCAAATGCTGTTGATAGCAGCCCGTTTTTTCTGTCGTAATTATGGCTGCATTCAGGTCTTGCCTATGCTGATATTAATCCAGAGTAACTACAGTGCAGTATTGATTTATGTCAGAGTAAAGGAGGCTAAGATATAGTATTTAATTATTAATTGTGTTTCAGTGTTAGGGTGCTTGGATGGGAGGGGGAGAAATGCTTTTAAAAAGTTATTTTTATGTAATAGCATTTTCATATTATTACATTAAATACATACACGAGCAATATCTGAGTCATAACATAAAACTGTCAGAGTTAATCTATCTCTAATCCCATACAATATGCTGTTTGTTCTTTATTTCTTTGCAAGGGCAAGAATAATTTATGTGGTTCTTCTCCAGATCAGGAATAACATGTTTAACATAGCATTATGTGTACAGCTCACAGAAGTAAAGCTTAGAATTAGTGTTTAAAACTTGTTACAACAAGAAGCCATAGAAAATAATAGAGTTTTATGTTGGCTGGATTTGTACATTTTCTTTTTGATCTTTGCACAGGTTGTTGGACTGACATTGTCCCGGGGTCTGGATGAACTTGCCCTTATCTACCTGGCCACGATCCAAGCCATTGCTGTAAGGCATTTTAAGTGCATAAAAGAAAAAATGAGTAGTCTCATGTGCTGTGAAGAGTGATCATTACCTTCTGCTAACCAGATTTCTAATAATACGTGAATTCACTTAATGGACTTCTTAAAGGAGCAAGATGTTGTTTATCCGTGTTGGTGACTATTCCCAACTGTGGGAGAATCGACAGACAGAAAATGTTCCCCTATAACGTCTTTTCCTTGAGGCAATTCTGTAAATGGAGCTTTTTCCTCTGGTGCAGATGTGAGGAAGGAGCTGATAGTCCATGGAGCAGTGTTACACCATGGGCTGTCTAGAGGGAAGCTGAGAGGGGGGAAAAAAAGCTTTGGCAATTGTACAAAGGACTCTGAGCTCCCCTAAAAGCCTTAGCTTCAGATTGTTCCTAAATCCATGGATTTCCCCTGCTTGTCTGGTGGATGAGGCAGAGCTCTGTGCCACAGTGAGCAGGAGAGTCTGAGATTAAGTTCACAGCTCCCACATCCAACAGAGCAGATCTTCCCCCTCTTGTACCTGCTCCAAGGAGAGCAGCTGGTTCCCGTGGCACTCCCGGGCGGGTGGATGTATGGAGCAGGCAGGGAGGCTCTGAAATGTCCCTGGTGTTTGCCAACACTCAAATGGGGAATTTTATTGGAATACTTTTCTTTCTGCCCTGATTTTCTATCGAACCCAGGATTTCCAGTTCACAAGAAGTTCTGTTCTGAAGTGAAAACCTGGGTCACCGAAGTTGTCTGGAAAATCTGGCAGAGGGTATTTTCCATGGGGCCTTTTGGTGACCAAAATCCACATTCCTTTGACATCCTTTCTGTGATTTTTTATTTTTTTAAAGTTTGCTGAACTTGAGGCATTTTTTGCAAAACATTAACAGTTTGATGAATTGGGGAGTTTTCCTGACAAAACTCTATTTGGTTGGAAAACTTCCAAACTCCTCTCCTGGTTAAACAACAACTTTGCTAGGCTGGGTCAGCCATCTGGGATGGAGAGGGTGGGTAGCTGCTGTGAATTTACTGGGAATTGTCCATTTTATGTGTTAACCCTCCCTAGTCAGCAAATAAGGGGAACTTAACCCCAGCCTGGAATTCATTGTTGTGAGTTATGAGACTTTTTAAGATGAAAGTAGCTTGGTTATACCTGATGCTTCAGCATAATCCCACCATTGAAATAAGAATGCCTAGGAGAGGTTGAACAATGCCAGGGACTGATACTGCCCCTGAAAGGAACTTCCCAGTCTGGAACAGGTGCTCCCTGATTATATGCTGCTAACGAAGTGGAAACCTTCTCTGCAGGAAATCCTGGGAAAGTCACCTATTATCTCATTGTATGATACAGCTCAGATTTTATTGTAAAACACAAATACTGTGTTGAACACAAAATTCAGCAGCTGCATATTTTTGATACCTGATTGGGCTGATTTAATGTAAAAAGGCCATCCCGTAGTTTTCTTTTCACTGTAAGTTCAAGGAAATTCATTTTTCCTGAAGTGTTGTTGAAACAGTAACTAAAAAGTAGATAGAGAACGTTGGTTTTGACTTGATATATTTACTAATTGCCAATGTGACACCTAGGAAATTTGGTTTTCCTCCCATGCTCCTTCACTCCCAATTTTAGCTTCACTTTTATTGAAGGAAACAGTTGTAGTAATCCTGCACCATTAGCTGCCTTCAATGGGTGCAAGATAAACTTTCAACCCAAGTAAGAATCTTGTACAAAGTGTAGGCCTGCCCACAGAATGTTAATCTCTAGTTTTCTTTTCAGCAGGAGAGGCTTTTTTCTTTTTATATAAAATTTGCATTTGAAGCCCCTCAATTTGCATTTTCTCCAATCCAGGATTAAATTAGTTCCCCCCCACCCACGGTGAAATAAGTCTGGCTTTAATTTAAATTGCTGTGTGAATACAATTTTCCAGGCAGGTAAACACAAAATAATTTTCACAGCATGTTCTTTCTCAGGGTCTTTGACGTGTGTATGTTGTGAGAGAAGTTGTTAATAAATTTGAATTTCAGAAGTAGTGAAAGAGAATCTCCTTTTAACCATTCACTGCAAGATGCAATGCAACAGTTGGATGGCTGAGAACACGATCAGGGATGTAATTGTGGCCCGTTCTGAGCAGACGGACTCCTTTTAGAGCAGTTTATTTTTCCATAATTAAAATTGTGGATTTGGAAATTAGCCCTCTGTGTCAATAGGGAAGCGATGGATTTAGTCAGCTGGGGCTGTGGCTGCTCATGTTCCTCTTAACTGCTTCCCTAAAAATCAAAATATATTTGAAGGCCTGTCCAGAATAGTGCTGGTCATTCATCGTGGACGTCTCCATCTGATGGAACTCTGCTCGTTCCATTTTCACTGGCTTTTATTTGAAGATGAGTTTATTGCAGCTGCAGACATCTTAATGAGCTTGCAGCATGACATAAAGAAAACTTAAACATTAGTTTATGAAAACTCTGACCAGATTGTGTTTTGTGAGGAATCTACCTACAAAGAGTCAGCCTGGGCAGCATTTTACCTTGAATTTGACAAGTCTGAGCTTCAAACTTAACTTTCAAGGTATTATAAAGATCTGGGAGTTATTTTCGATCACATAGTTTGTCAAAGAAATGTGAAATACTCCTGAAAAAGGGAAATAGGGAGAAGGTTGTCTTCAGTGAGGAGTTGGAGGCAAGCAAAGCAAACAAAAAGAGAAAAGCTATATTTTTAAAATGGCAAAGCATTCACTTTGGTTGTTCTAATTTGAGTTTCTCAGAATTGAGACTGTAAATGAAAAGTTTAAAATATGCCTGCATTTGAGATGTTTCAATTAATTCAGGCATGAAACGGAACATTTTATTTTGTGTAGGGCAAAGGCCAAGAGAAATAGTTAAGCCAATACAGAATTCTTCAGGTTTTCTTTTTTGCTGAAATGACAGAAAACATAGATTTTTTTAATTTGCTGTTCTTTTTTTGTTCTGTTTTGCTATTTGGCTTCAGAATTGAAACCTCTTCACTGAGAGGGATTTTCAGATGCTGTTACACAAAGTAAATAGAAAGTTTCGGTGGGGATGTCTTTGCACATAAGTATAGTTCTGTTCCTGTGGCTGCTCTCCTGTGCTCATCTGGCTTGTTTTCCTCTCCCTTTTTGAAGTTAGGAACAAGACATATTTTGGAAACGATGCAGGCTGCAGGACATGATATCAACACGCTGTTTCTGTGTGGTGGGCTGAGCAAGAACCCTCTCTTTGTGCAGATGCATGCTGACATTACTGGTAAGTTAGGGGAAGTACAGGGAAAGGAGTGTAAGCTGCTTTTATTTTAGGTGTCTAAGTACCTTGTCTTTGGAAAAATAAAGACTTGCTTTGTACAGAACTGTATTTCGCTGCTTGGCCAAAAAGCGTGTCATGAAATATTACTTTATGAACTTCATCCTATTTGACTTGTGACACTTCCTGCTCTTGCTGGGCATTGTATCCATTATTGCTTCCATGTCTGTATCTCTCATATGGTTTAGGGGACAATGTCTGGACTCTTGCTCCTGCACAGTGTTGTCTTTGGTTTTGTAGAATTCCTGATGGGTAGAAGGAAGCTCCTGGATCTGTGTTTTAGTGCAATCTCAGGCCTACATGGTATTTTTGGTCCCCCTTCAGCCTGTGTGTGTTGGACATCTTAGCACACCTGTGAGTCAGTTGAATATACTTCAAAAAATGTGGAAAAAATAACAAAATTTAGTTTAAAGGACTTCAGAGAAACATTGAATGATGTGTGTTTTGGGTATATTTCAAATTAAGACCAGTTGAGCTGTCATGAATAAAGTTTAAGGCTCAATTTTGGGGCATTTTGTCTGGAAATCTGTCTTGCCCTGACATCAAATTACACTTCATAACCTTGATGCAGGAAGGAAGATGAAAACGTGCTTTACCTGAGAGGAAAACAGAAATGGAGAAGCAAAAAGCATAATGCCTATTGACCTGAAAATTCACTAATTACATTGTAGTCAAAGTGAAAAAATGATATTGTCGAGTCTGTGCCTTATAGAACTCGGATGTTTTAGGTGAATTTCAGCTACGTGTGGAGTTGTGCTGCTGGTCTGTGATGTGTAAAAGAAAAGATCTGTGAAAAGGTATTCTGATTAAAATGTAATCACAAGTTCTTTGACTGTAACTAATGGCCAAGTACAATTCAGTACAAAAAGGCCTTTTTGCAGTCTGGAGTTCTCCCCCATTTGTAAAATCAGTGACTGACAAGGGATGTCAGAGTTCATCTCACTGAAATGCTCTTGGTTATGTTGAACTCATTAGAGCCTATCAGATAAAATAACTAACATTCCAGGATCAATCCCCCATTCTTTCCCGAAAAGAAAAAAATCTGAATATATTATTGTTAGCTGCAAATGCCCATGACTCAGCCATGCAGACATCCAATAGATAATTCCACAGGCCACTTAAAAAGTATCTTGATCTTTTTGTTTGCCTGGTAAGAATTCCTATTCATTCTGGTGATGCGGGAAATGGGCAGTAAATTTTCGAGCACGCTGAAAATTGCTCACTGACGCCTGACAAACAGCCCTGGAGCTTTGAGCTTGAGCTTTAGATTTGCTGTTCCAGGTTGACCCAAGTCCTGAGCTGTGATCCAGCTGAACTGGAGGAATGCTCAAGTGACAGGGAAAAGTAACTGGAAATGTAACTGGATGCCTGTTGCAAGGAGAATTTACTTTGTGTCAGTAGTTGCTGCTTATATTAATAATTTTATTCCTCATTTTGCGGAACGTGTATTTGCCTTTTCCTCTCTAGCAGTTGTTCATGGCTAACTTTAGGTCTTCCTCCAAATTCCAGCTCCTTCTAATCTTCCAGCTGGCTCTCAGGAGCAGCATTTTTTGGGGTGTAATATCATGGAGACTATTCTCAGAAGGAATCCCTCCTTCCGCCCCTGTGTTTGCATCGTCATTCACTCAATGACATTATCTCAGTAATGGAAATTTAGCCACATGCCAAATACTGTAGGAATATTGAATTTTTCGACTTAGTGAGGATAAGCATCAGAAGTGCAACTAGAAAAGTATTTAAACTTATGCTCTTGGTTTAGATTTTTCAGGAGAATTAATAAAGCAGGCTGGTTTTTATTTATTAGTATTTTTCTTCCTGTTTTTACATTGGTGAAGCATGTCTCAGACACTTTGTGTGAACCAAAGGGAAAGTATGTTCACGATAGTACCCCTGGGTGATGAAACAATATTTTTTTAATTCTGCTTCATAATATATATTATTTGTTTGTTTTTCCAGTGTTTTAATTTTGTTTTTGAGTATCTTGCACAATTTGGAAGGCAAGATTTCCCTTATTATTTCATACATAGCTTGAGAAAGTTTGCTACTCATATTTTCATGTCTTCCAGCAAAACCAGACTGGCTTTGTTGGCTATATATTTAAAACCAAACACAAACAGTCTTTTGTTTGTTTGTTGCAAAAGAAACAAAAAAGACACCGCCCTGTTTTCCCCTCCAGGTTAACTTTTAATGGGCACGTGGGTTTGGAGGGTGTGGGTAACAGGTTTATACCAAGCCCTCTGAGATAAATAGCCAGTGTCAAAGATCTGGGGGGGGGGTGTTGGTTTTTGTGCCCTTTATGTTCTGCATTAATATTTACTGAAATTGTTGTATTTAAATCTTGCATTTTTCCTGGAGCCTGGAACCACAGAGCAGAGTGATTTACATTAACCTACAGCAGAAGGTAGCTCTGAATGGAGTAATGAATAATGGTTTTCAAGCCCTTTTTGATTTCTTTTTTTGCTTTAATTATTTATGGTGCTGCTGGTGCAGTCCTGCTGTGTTCTTCCTAACAGACCTGACTCTTTCCTGTGCAGGGAAGCCTGTTGTCCTGTCCAAAGAGGTGGAGTCTGTTTTGGTGGGTGCTGCTATTCTTGGAGCTTGTGCTTCTGGGGATTTTGCATCTATACAGGTATGAAATACCTGATTATACTTATTTTTTTTTCAGTTTTAATGTGTTTTGCACCTTGACTTTTGGCACCACACACAGACTTCAACCCAAGTGGAAAAGTTTGTACCTTCTACGTGGCTGGACAAGAGCCAGTATCGCCTTCTCTCCACCCCCTGTTTAACTCCACATTTAGGTGTATTGAGTATTCATTTGTCTTTTCACTGTAGAGACGTGCATGGAAGCTGCTGTCTATGAAGTTGGGCCATGTAATTTTACAGACAAAACAGGGAATTTAGCAAGGCTCTGATCCTGCAGGAAGGTCATGCTTTCATCTCAGTTATATTTGTCTGACTTTCCTTCCTTCATATTGAGGAATGTTAAACATAAGAAGCAACATAGCACTATTAATGCAGTAAAAAATAACACACCTATAGCTCTTGTCTTGCCCACAGTGAATGCAGAGTTAATAATGAGGATGGAACTTCATGTTTATTCATGTTATTTCAGTCCATTAGCAGTTGCAAAAGTAGCAGTAAGGCTTTTATTTTCAGTGGATCAGGCAAAGCATGACTTAGCTGCATTTGTATAAACAACAGTGGTTTACAGAAACCTGAGGAAGGGTCTGAATTCCCCAGATCATGCCTGTTTTCCCACCTGGCAATCCCACTAGTATGAGACATCTTCTCTCTTCATGCCACACAAGGACATTAAACAACACACTGCATTCAGTTGGACAAACTTATTTATTGGGATGGTCCCTTGTACATTTAATACATTTTTCTTTATAGCACCAGGCACAGATACTTGTAGATGAAATTTTGCACAAAAACTTATCTGGATATATTTTCTGAATAGGGAGTTCAGCTTCTTGACCTTGTTAAATTGATGCAGTTCCACTGGAATCAATAAACAGCTCAACATAAGCTGACGAGCTGGGCTGTGCTTGGCATTTCTCCAAATGGGAATATTCTACAGTGCTGTGTAGGTTAGCAGGAAGAGCAGTTTCCTTTCATAAGAATTTTTCCATTAAAATGAATGCCATTGCAACAAATATAGAGTGCAATATATATGTATATAGTATCTGTATATAATAGTTCTAATGCCTGTAAGAAGAACTTGTTTCGATAGATGTAATTTCAGTAGCAACTTTTGGTGACAGGACTTTATATTTATTTCTTACTCTTCTGTTAATCTTTTGCCTTCAAATACATATTTCATTCCAAGTCTGCCATGTTTTTCATTACAGTGCAATAACTGAACATCTCAAAACTGATTTTATCAAGTCTGTTTTAATCAACATTAGAAAAACCTAATGCTGGGAAGTTTTCTGTGATATGTCCGTATATATTTTTGGTGTATTCGCTTACTTTTAGTTTTTACCTTGCTCTTATATACAAAAATATTTCAGAAGCATATCCAATAATGTCAGAACAGATACATATATTTTATACATACATTAATATATGTCAGTGTTCATCACACACCCCTTCAGATGTCTTTTTCAGTGGAACTGAATCCTTTGAACCAGCCATGTCGCAGACTTTTAAATTCCAATATGTTAGATTATGTAAAAACATTTTTAAAAGAATTTAGCTACATGGGATAAAGAAATGAGAAACGGAATGAATTTGTTTTAGGGACAGGGAAGTGTAAATGCATATCTAGCATCACAGTTCAATAACATCTCTTACATTTGTCTTTGTAACACATGTTCCAAAACAACCCTTTCTTAGAGGTGCTGCTGCATTCAGCAGCATCGTTGTAGACTTTGCAAATAATAGAGTTTATTACCTCTCCTCTAATAGATGGTTTGTGCTTAATTACTGTCCTTCTCAAAGCTCTTTGTTTGCTCAGTCTAATAGTAAAGGAGAAAATTGTGGGTTTTTTTGGTAACCTCTCTCCTTATGTCTATGGTTTCTTGAAGGGGATTTTTTACTGTAGCTTTCCCAGTCACTGGTCACATTTCTCAGAATGATTTTTGGACATTTCCACTCAATGTCAAGATCAAAATGCTTAAAAGCTCTCTGGTTTTTATGGGTTGGCTGTTCTCCATTTTCTAAAACTCAAGCCTTTTTAGGACAGCTTGGAAGTAGCACCCAAAGCCAGGATCCCTCAAAATCACTCCTGATAATCTTAGTCCAGCTCTACCATGCTCTGCTGACTGAAGGACTGGCTGCTGAACAAACAGTGAGTCCCACTAGTGATGCTGAACCTGATGCTTTGGGGATGAAATGTGCACCATGAGCTGACCTGCTCATATTGACTGGAACACTAAAGAGCTCTTCCTTTGATATCCCTAAATAAGTTTATTCTCACAAAGACACAAGCACTGATGTACCTCCCATCTCTTTTCCCTTTCCATACCACAGCAGCAACTGTTCTCAGGATGCAGCATTTTATTCTAATTCTTAATTTTCATATATTTTTCTTCATATTTTGAATGATTTGGGTAAAGGTTTTCATGCTTTCTGCTGACCACATCTGTATTACCATCAAAATTCGCAGTGTACTGAGCCTTTACAAAGAAGCATTGGAAATGAAGGTCATTGTAAAATTTGTAACCATACAAGTTAATTTGCAAGCTCCTAGTGTGGATTTAAAAGTTCAAGCCCCTTGAAGCTGCAATTTCATCTTTAGGTAATTCTATCAAGGGAAGATTTATAACCTCCATCTCTCAGGCCTGGTCACCATATGTTGCTGCTTCAAAGAATGTTGACTTCCCTATTTTCCTCTTCATTTACTCTCCCTGCATTTTTCTCCTCTGTGGTAAAACAACTGGTCTATCCAAAAAGAAAAAAGAACATGCAGTGTGGTGAGTTCTTCCCCATTTCGTCTCTCCGTTATTTCGTTTCTAGAAACTCTGGAAAGAGGAGAAAATAAACTGAATTTCTTCTTGGTTCATCTTTTAATTTGTTCAAATTCTACACCCTTTTTCTGTGAGTTGTTTTGTGGTGCCCATGAGCTCTAACACAGCCTGGTTGTGTCCCAGCAGACAGTTCTGTGTAAAATCCTGTGACAGAAAGATTTTTGAAATACAGACTCTATTTTGGGGATTTGGATTTTTGAAATATGCTGCATTGAATGAACTAACCCTCACATTGCTGCTTAGATAGGTCAGTTTATTGGTTCTGGCCATTCCTTTCATGCTGAGCAGCAGGATCCTGGTTTTCTATGGGATTGTTTCTATAGTAAAAATATAGTTTCCGGTTTAGCAAGCCAGCAATTCCTTCTCAGAGAAAATGTTCAATAAATAAATGTCAAAGTTTCCAGTATATCCTCGTTACTCTGCCTCACTCGTTCATAATTGAAAATGGGAAGAAGGTGCTGTTTGACTTGGCAGTTATCCAGCTCTTTTTTTTTTGAATAGCCCACTCTTTGGGACAAAGCTGTACACAAGGGAACAGGATTATTGCCTTATAAAACCCTGCAGCCCACTGACTATTCCTTAATTGCATATTAAAGCAATTAATAAAATTACCTGTATGAAACCAGATTACCAGATTTATTTTGGGTATTCTGCATTCATGTGGGACATTGTTACTGACCAGTATGGGAGAGAAGAAACTCTGATTTTCTATAATGCATATTGTCGGTATGTCCCTGTAATCAGCTTTCTGTAATCATTTTTTGTGTCAAACATTGAGCTAGAATTGAGAGTCCTCATGATTACAAGATTTTTCAGGTACACATTGACTTTTAAGAGAGGTTTAGTCTTTTCTTTGTTAGTTTTAGTTGTTGTGCAAGTTGCTGGTATACTCTGCAAAAGATAGGGAAAAGCATTTTAATTATTTTTATCAAGCAGATTGGAGGTATCTAAAAATGAGCTGGATTCTATAGAAAGAAGTGTTAGGTAATTATCTAATGTGGATTAGCTGAATTATTTAGCAGCAGTAGCAGCTGAGCAGGTGAAGTACCCCCTGGGCACAATCTGCATCCCTGAAAGCAGCCCTAGGAGCTGTGTGGATCGGGATCACCTGGCTCCTGTGTCCATAACTCTGGACTATATTGCAGGTGGGGGTTGAAGTTACAGTGGTGCAGGGGACATGATTCACTTTCAACTCCACTAAAGGAGCTCAGAAGAGTTTTGTTTGTGCACTGCGGGGTTTTGCTTAATTTAATGGACATCTCCTCTCAGTTGTCTTGGGATGTTGTCGGGTGGTAAAGCATGAAATCAAATAACCAACCCCACAGATAACACAGGTTTTATAAAGATCAACCAGGAAGAACATTTGATACACAACTTATTCGCCTTTTAACAATTAAAATGTTACAGACTGTTATGAATGTAAAGAAGTTCCTCAGTACTACAGTTACTCCACAACCTTGGTAATGGACCAACTGGCAATGGGGAATAAACAGCATTTCATAAGAACACCCATAAATAGTACTGGGACATATTCAACACTTCTGCTGACAGAACTGGAGGGGATTAGGCCGTTTCCATTTCTGAATCAGGCAGTTTCTGGCGTAATTTTGTTCCATTTATTTCAATGGACGTACTTCAGTTGATGATCTGATCCTCTATTCCTCTTCCAAAGCATTACCTGTCAGGTCATGGCTTGAAATTAATACAAGCCTCTTGTTGATTTCCATATTTTCAAAAGGAAGAACCGAGTAAGAGATCAGGGAGGGGATAGTTTTTTCCTTAGAAATGGTAATAACATGGGAAATCAAAAGAGGAAGTAAAATGACTTCTCCCTGTTGAGTTAGGGAATGTTGCCTTCCCTCATCTCATTAAAAATTTAAAGCACTCTTGTTTTTGAACAGGGTGAATTAGTAATTAAGTGCTGTAATCAACTTGTGTAAACATAATATTGAAGGAGAACAGCAAATTAATCATTTCGTTGGCTTGCCTTCCCCAATTAATGCACCTTTTAGTAAAGGCCTTCCTGCCGTGTTGGGATGGTTTTTTTCTCCTGTTCCCTTAATCAGGAGAGTTATGAAAGGCAGAGGAAGGAGATGGTTGTTCTTAGGCACCATGGTGTACACGAGGAGTGTCCTAAAGTGCTGTGATCTTCCCT